AATATTTTGGTCTCCTAGGCCGAAAGAGAGGAGTAAAAGGAGGAGGAGAAGCTTGCCACCGAGCCATAGCTAGAAGAGAATAAGGTGAAGGTTTGAACCCCGTAACCCTAAGTACAGTAAATTGTGATTAGTATGAGAACTTCGTACGTGAGGAGTTCAACTGGATTAAAGAGATGACATTGATGCGTGGCTAAGTAGTCTAAAAGACATAATTATGTGGGATGTTACAGTAAATCTTGTGTATATTGAATCTAAAATTTTATGAAATTGTTATTAAGTATAATAAGCATATTGTATAAACTATATATGGCAAATTTGCCTCTTGCATTTTGTTTTGGACAGCCACACACATCATATTAAAATACGACTAATTGATTGGTTATCCAATCCAGAAGATAAGAGACAATCTTTGCATTTATATTCTACTGATTCTATCATTCTGTTACTAAGGTTCGATTCAACTTTACCCAAGTAGTGTAAAAATTTACATGTATATTTTAGTTTAATTCAGTTTTGGGTTTTAATCAGAAACAATCGTTCTACTTTTGCTAAATAACATGTACAAAGACTTAGAGACATATTTGATTACGTAATGAATACAAAGTAACACGAGTAGAAGTCTTATTACGTTATCCTACTAATAAGTCCAAAGCCTTTTTAATTGTTGTACGTGAGGTTTGAAATGAGGCTTTGCTAATGGGGATGACATGGAGAAACTAGCACCAGATTATTCAAATATTTGTACTAAATAAAATTTATTTGACCCAAAAAAGACTTTTGGTGTGAGTTCTGCAATCTAAATAGCTCATTAAATTTCTGTTTATGCAGAATATTCAATAGGAGGAGAAAAATTGAACAGACAAAGGACTAACCCTATTGCCTCGTGGCCTAGAATCCTGGGAAAGCAAGCTGGAGGAACCTGCGTAAACATCCAAACACAAAAAAAGTTTAATAAATCTCTGACTATTCAGTATCAACGACCACAAATAAAATTTAAGTATAGAAATCCATTTTTTTTTGTATTAATAAGTGAGATCTATCTTCATTTTTAAAATTGTGTCAGTAATTGGCAAAAAAAACAAAAAAAGTTATCTGGCAGTATTGGACATTGGAGTCTGTTTTGTTTTCTATTACCAACTGAACATTGAAGTTTACGTTTACCAAATAAAAAATTATTGAAATTTACGTATGAATAAAAAACTAATCATAAGTTTTTAAATTTTGTTAAGTCTTTCAGTTGATATTTGCGTTGCGCATTTGA